AGAGTGATGAGACCATTTCTGGAATGTTATGTGTGGGATGCTTGCAGAAAGTTTAAGAGGAGACTGTTGGTCCTGGAAGGTGACCCCTCTTTCTTGGGCAACTTCCCAGTCTTCTACATTCTCCACACATAGAGAGGGGTGGGACTTGGGAACCAGCCACAAGCTGGGTCTCAATGTGAGTAACAACTCAAACTCCCCCCTAAAAACTCAAACTGAACCACCCATGAGGTACTTCCAACTCTGCTTCCTTCTAGAAGCTACTGCTGTAGCTGACTTCAGGACCATCTTATTATTTTCTGAAAGGGATGGTGGCACATAATGTCAGCACAGAGACTCGCCTCTCATGAGTTTTAACTTAGAGGATTGGTTATGGGCAGTTAAGGAAGTCTGTATCTCCAGTGCCAAGGGATCTGTAACAGGGCTTATCATCCCACCTCCTAATTTCCTTTCCTGTCAGCAAAGAAATGTCAGGATTAGTGGAGGTTGAGATGGATGAAGGTCCTCCTGTAGTGGCTCCTTTGTTTTCTAATTAACCTACTGTGCTTATTTAAGAGAGAGTTCCAGGAGTGGGGACAGCCTAGACATGAAGATGTGGGAATTTTTAGGCAGTACCCGAGGCTAATGGAGCAGGTTCATATCACTCAAGGAATGTGTTGCTGTGAGAAGAGAGTCAAGAGCAAAACCCCTAGAACACCAATGTTTCAGGGGTGGGAAGAATTTTAGGAGTGAATGAATAAAAAAACCAAACTGTCCAGAGAGGTATAAAAACAAGGAGCAATATCTCAGAAGCCAGGAAAGAAGTACACCATAGAGTCCAACACCGCAGAGAGTTCAAATAGAATGAGGAATTCAAAGAAGACTTCATATATTATCATTCATATGTTTTTAGTCTTTGCCAGAGGCAGTTTTCTTTAACACAGTGGGAGTGGAAGCCAGATTACTGAGGGGCTAGTGGGAGGAAGATCAGAAAGTTGAAGTAGGAAGTAAAAACTCCTCTTAAGTAGCTTGGTGGAGGACAGCCAAATGGAAGGGTATTTTCTAGGATTGGGAAATGCAAGCATGTGAATTAATCAGGGACAGGAGGAGGTAGAGACTGAAGATAAAAAAAAGATCATCAGGTTAGCCAGACCCTACAAAAGTTGGCCAAATCAGGAATCCAGAGCCTGGCCCTCCTCTTCATAGCTCTTGTCTGGGAGATTGTCACCTTACATCCAGATTAATGCAGACCTGCTAGACACTCTGGTGAGTGCAAAATAGAGCAACATACAGTAGGGAGTTGAGAGTGGTAAAGGTGGGGGAACAACTGTTGAGAAATATCACTGGCTCTATCAAATGCAAACATCATGGTCAAAATTTTTTGAGGAAAATAGAGTGAAAGTCAGTCTACCCCACAAGATCCTGGCATTCATAGCTAGTCCTGGACAAGACCGCAAGAGCAGAGAAGCCTCACGTTTTTTGCCTTTGCCATAACTAATCAATTCTTTTTTTTATCCAGATCTGAACCACAGTGGGTCATTCTCGCCTTGAAAAGAAACCAAGATAAAAAGAAACAGCTCTCAGAACAAAACCAGAGATTCATTGCCCCATTTTTCCTCTCTTTAGTAAGTAGTCTGGCTTTCAGTGAGTTGCAGTCTATGTACTGTAGACCATTTCTTCTTTGCTGCTGGATGTGATTCTCTTGATTCTTTTCCCACTTTCTGCATACTAAGTCCTGCAAACCCTTCATTTCTTCATTCCACAAATGTTTACTGAATGCCTGCTATGTGCCAGATACTGATTCTTCCTTTGCTGTGATTTTCAGATCATCCAAACTTGAACTGAGGAGCACTGCTGGCTTGAAAATGATCCAAGAACAAAAGAAACAACTCTCCAAGGTCATACACCAAACAAAAACTGAGAAACATTCTGTATGTTTGCTTTTTTTTTTTTTCTCTTCGGAACTGAATCTGGGCTCTAACTTTGGATTTTTAGTAAGTCATATCGTGTGTGTGTAAAGCCTTCCATTTTCATCTCCTGTCTTTTGATTCATCTGATCTGTCACCCTTTACATCCAATTAGTCACTCACTTCTATGACTTTTCCTTTTCCATGGTGTGATTCTCAGACTTTCCTGAATTGAATTATTGGAAGTGCAGGCCTGGGAAATGAGGCCAAGATAAAGGGAAAATACTCTTGAGTTCCCTTATTTCCCTTATGAAATAAAGCAGATTTAAGCAGTAATCTCCCCCCCTCCCCTTCTTTTGGTCTGTAACTCAATTGTGTCGTTGGCTTTCAGTGAACAGTGCTTCCATGTTCAGCAAAACAACCCAGCCCCATGCTGGGTCCTCTTTGTTATCAGTGACTCCCTGCTCCTCATCCCCAACTCTTCCTCCACCAGGTTTCTAGTTGTTTTTCAGCATTTTGTATTTTCTCTTCCAATCCATCTTATATTTACTTAACTAATCTAGTCTTTCTCAAGCAGCATTTGTATTGTGTCTCTCCAAACTCTTCAGGGCTTCACTATTATCAGTTGAATCAAATTCAGGCAACTAAGCATCGAGGATGCATCAGTCAGTTCCAGCATCACCTGCCTGCTTTTTATTTTTTTTCTTTTGTCAATATATTCTTACATTTTCTCAGGGGTTGTGTTGGGTTTTATTTTTCATTAGTATCCAGTGGCCTGCTGTTTAACATTCAGCTGAGCTTTTTTGAATAGAAAGTGAAGTAGGGGTAGTGAAAGAGATTTACTCTGCCCTTTATTTCTGATCCAGATACATCATGAAGGTTGTTTCTATTTTGATCCTATTGTGTGATCGCCTCTATCATTAGCTTCCCAGTTGTGGTTTACTATTTCATAGTTCCCCAGAGCCTGTGTCCAAAGCCTGATTAATACCTTTAGAAGCTCCAAGATTAGTGGATTCCTCCCAACTGTAATTCAAAATATAAACAATTCAAACCACAAAATAAGCGTAAGAAAGTACAATAGAGTCCTGATTATTTTTCCCAACCTGGCTATTTCATTTTGAAATTTTTTGCCAAAAAAAAAAATTGGGGGTAGGGGGTCCCCCAGCTTTGCTCTGCTCTAAGCAGGTACTTAGTCTGCACATGCACCTCTTAGGGAAAAACTGCTTCACCACCTAACTGTCAAAAAAAGCAGTTAATAGTTGTGGGGGAGGGGCAAGACCTGACTCATCATTCTTACTGTGCTTGTTTCTCCAAGGAAAAGCTGAAGTGGTGATCCTTACGCTGGGTCCCTACAGAGAAAGTAGTGCCAGCCCTACTCACAAGGACAATTAATGATTTTTGTACCTTGCTTAGACTTCAGATAAGGAAATTAGAAACCGAAAAGCCCAATTTAACTTAAAGATGTTAATTCTAAAGCCTTTATCTGTCAAACTTTAAGCCCAGGACATTCAATTTGGTCACAAGAAGGTATTTCAGAATAGCATTTTCTTTTAAGTTTTCCTCTAAGAGACTGTCCTGACACAGACCTCATTCTACCCAGAACCAAAACTTAGGATCACTTTTGTTTCCTGAATCTATACATACTTAGGTTAATCCTGCTCCCTGATATCCCCAGGGAAGCTGGAAATCTGCACATTAGCTAAAACCCAGCCCAGATATTATTAGCCTCTTAGCAGAAGGTCTTGGTGGAAAGGTCAAACCTATGAGAGGGATGAATGTCACACCTAAAGACGGCAACGGCAAACAATCAGTAAGATAATCACTGTTGCCTTTTTCCTCCTTTTAATTTCCTCATTCGATTTAAAGAATTGGTATTTTCCTTTTCTTCTTAGAAACAGCTAAGGCTATTACCTCTGGAGCTACTGAAGAAAGTACAGAGGATTGGAATCAAGAGATATGAATCTAAGTCCTAGCACTGCTACTTTCTGATTTTGCAAGTGATTTAACCTCTCTGAGCCTGTTTCCTCATCTGTAAAATGGCGATAACAATAATATCTATACAATTAATGCAAGGTGAAAAAAAATAACATGAAGGTTCTATGCAAAGAACAATTATAACTTACTATTTCCCCTATTGTTTTCCTTACTGCACCGGAAACAGGTACAACCAACTCTAATCATTATAGTAGAACCAACTCTAATCTACTTTGTTTCTACATCTGGAAGTGTTTCATCTCAATCAATATAACTGACTCTTAAATGCAGGAATTTAAGTTGAATAACTGAGGTTAGGAATGGGTTCACTTAGAGCAAACAGACAGAGGATTATATATACACATGTATCTATAAAACATCCGTAAAGACACATGAGAAACTGGGAACAGTGTTGCCTAAGGGAAGAGGAATTTGAAAGCAGTGAGATAAGAATAAAAAATTACTTTTACTGTTTCTTTTTGTATCTTTTGAACTTCCTACTTAACACCCAAAGCTAACTTATAAAATGTATGCTATCAAATAAAAGGAAATAGACCATCACCTATGTATTCTATGATACTTAACCTTTTTTACTACCTGTTTTCATTGATAAGTTCAGTTAATTAAAAACTGCACCTAAGAACTTCTAAGCATTTTGTCACTTCAGAAATTATTTTTCTCTGTATATGTGATTAAAAAAAATAAGACACGGGGTGGAGAATCATGAATTTCCATATACAATTGCAACGTCATTACTAAGGTCCTTAAGTTTGAAATGCAACAAACAAAAGCAAAACCCTGGTGGTTAGACCATTTCAGATGTTAACTGAATTCTAACTAAAATAACAGACCAAAGGCTAATTTCCTCAACAGAAAAAGCTTCTATGACTCAACATGTAAAAGACCAACAAATCTCCTCAAAATGGGGAAAGGATTTGAATACAGCCTAAGAAAAGGAAATGTAGATGACATTTAGACACGAAAAGATGCTCAACCTTTCTAAGAAGAAAAAATACAACTTAAACCACTGAAAAGCCATTTTTTAAAAAATTTATTCAATTGGCAAAATCCAAAAGTTTGAAAATGCTTCCGGTTGACTCCCCATTTCTTTCAGAGTTAAGCCCAACTCTTTGTCCTGGCCTTGTAAGTCAGTAAGGATCTGGGTCTGGTCCCTTATAACACTTCATTTTCCTCTACCTTCACTTGCTACTTTCTCCTTTCTCATCCGACCCTAGTTACACCGGCCTTCTCGTGCTTCCTTGACTACCCTAGACAACCCTAGTGCCTTAGGACTTTTGAAACATCTACTTCCTCTGCCCAGAATGTTCTTTCCCTAGATCTGCATAGCTACCTCCCTTACCTCCTTCAAGTCTTTGCTCAAATATCACCTTCTCAATGAAGCCTCGTGTTAACCATTCTATTTAAACTGCAGCCCCACCTCCCCACAAGCACCACACTCCTGATTCCACATACTCTGATCTGTTTCCAAGAGTATATTCCAGCTTCCACTGTACTGTATGATTTTATGTTTATTTATATGTTATTATACATTACATTATTTCTCTCCTCCTACTAGAATATAAACCCCACTAGGGCAGGAATTTTGTTCTGTTTTATTTCTTGGTGTTTCCTAATTACCTAGAACAGTGCTTGGCCCATAGCATAAGTTCAGTATTTGTAGAGTGAATGAATATCACATTGTGCTGGCAAGGATGTGGGGAGAAAAGCACACTCATACATCGCTGGGGTGTAACTGTTAACTACCTCATTTGGCAATATTTTAACTTGAAATTACAAGTGACATATCCTTTAACTTGGTAATTCCACTTTTCGGATTTTATCCTAAAGACACACTTGGCCATGTATGAAATACATATGGCCATAGTTACTATATTATTGTTTGTGCCAAAGATTGGAAGTTACCTAGATGTCCATTAATATAATAAATACAATGAAATAGTGGGCAGGAATATAGAATGAAGAAATTCTTTTTTGGACTGATATGGAAAATTTTCAGATATTAAGGAGAAAAAGTGCCAAGGTGTAGAACAGTATGTGTAGAATACTATAGTTTGTGAAAAAAGTAGGGAAGATAATACACATATTTGCTCATAAATGCATAATTATATCTTAAGGGAGATACAAGAAACTGGTAACACTGGGTGCCTTCAGGGAGGTGAAGTGGATGGATGGAAATATTTTGTAACCTTTGCATTTTGGATGTATATATGCATTATCACTTTGATAAATTTATAATAAGTCAAGAAAATGTTATCTGAATTTCTCTTTTTAAATACTGTATTTTGGTTTCCATGACCCTGACTGATTTAATTATTCTGATTAAAAAACAGTACATTGAGGTCAGGGCTTTCATTTAAGGAATCAGATGCAGATATAAGTATATTGAGGTTATTTTCAGATTCAGTCACTTACTGATATTAAAACAAGACCACTTAACTGATGTTTATTTCATGCTTTTATTTTGTTTTGGCAGAGATGAGACCTGGGTGGTATTATGATATTAATATTTCAAACATCTTAAAAGATTTCTTTTAGCAACCAGGATGCTGTAGCAATTTCATTAATTGTTAAATAGAAAAACTTATAAAGTTTGAATTAGAAAATCCTTTTGTAACTTTTAAAATTTTCAATTATTTTAATGATGCAGTTGTTAGAAATGGTTTTGCAGAGGACTTTAGGCTTAGAAATCTAAAAAAGGAAAAAAAAAATTCTGCCAAGATTATTTAAAGCTCTAAAACAGGTTACCACAAAGGAAGTAGTTATGGAAATGTGTTTGGCTAAAAACCTATTTAAAAACATTTTTTCATATAAAGTTACTAAAATACAGTAGATTGGTTGGTCAGACTTTATAATTCCAAGGGGTCTTGGACAGAAACAATAATCTGGGCATTACTACAACACAAAAACTCTATAGAAATCACCAAGGCTATCGTAGGGGAAAGATTTGAGGTCTTTCTTGGAAAAGTCAACTTCTTTAAAGTCACAACACTTCAATTGCCTATAAATTGTGCCCTTCTTGCCCCAAAAGTGATTTCCTAAGATCAACTGATACGCAATCAGAGCTTGAATTCAGCAGGATTTAGTAGGATGGCTTTGGTTGGTTGAAAGACAAAGGCTTGGGAGATGCACCCTTACATGGAATATGCAGAACTGTGACCTAACCTTTTAAACCCAATGAGTGGTCGGGGAAGCAGTCTTTACACTTCCTAACTGTGGTCTTCTGAAGTGGTCTGGAGTAAGATTTTACTGAAAACAAGTCCTAGGGGCCAATAAGGCTAGACTGTATTTTGATGTATCTTCTATAGTATCAAAACCTTCTACCTTTTTATCTCATTCACAGGTGGACATCCTTTCTGGATTCTCAGCTCCATCTTCCTCAAACCTCTTGCCATATCCCTGCTTCCTTTAAAAATTTCCCTAAGAGAAAGAAAAATATCATATGATATCACTCATATGTGGAATCTAAAAGAAAAAAAGCAAAACAGAAAAAAGAGGACACTAATGAACTCGTCTACCAAACAGAAACAGACTCGCAGACATATTAAACAATCTTATGGGTTACCAGGGGAAAGGGAGTGGGAAGGGATAAATTTGGGTGTTTGAGATTTGTAAATGTTAACCACTATATATAAAAATAAATTAAAAAAAACAAATTTCTTCTGTACAGCACAGGGAACTATATTCAGTATCTTGTAATAACCTTTAATGAAAAAGAATATGAAAACAAATATATGTATATATATGCATGACTGGGACATTATGCTGTACACCAGAAATTGACACATTGTAACTGATTATATGTCAATTAAAAAAATAAAAATAAATAAAATTTCCCTTTCTACATCTACACTGCTAAAATAGAGGTGGCGGGGGAGATGTGACATTCCCCTCATTAAAGATTCTTTGGTACTGTCAAATGACAAAAATAACACAATTTAGCAACAAGTTTGATATCCTTTACTCAAGGGAAAACAATTCAAGGACTGGGGGAGTACAGTGCTGTTTGTCATCACAGTTCGTCAGACTCTTTCCTGAGAGGGAGAAAAAAGGAACATGGAGCCAAGAATCTGGGAGAAGGAAGGAGGGAGCTGGAAGGGGCAGAGATCTGACCTACTTCACAATTTTACCTACTATAGTTTTACTTGCCAGAGCTGATGCCTGTGAGATTCTCCCCTTCCCTAATCCCATCTGTTACCTACGTGATAGTTTAATCTTTCAATAAAAGAAAAAAATTTCATATAAAATAGGTATCTTAGTATAAGAAGGAAAAGCAATACTCAAACTTCTAAAAAAAGGCAAAGTCTAAAATAATAAACACACAGTTGGGCCAGTAATAGATAACAAATATAATACATTTTAATAGTATATGATGAAAATAAAGCCAAAATGATATTTAATTATATTGAACTTTTATTTCAACATATTACCACAAAGTTAAATGTCCAGAAATACTTGTTTTGTGTATTTTAAAAAATTCCATAAAAACATCAACCTATCTCTGAAGAGAGACTTCTATAAAAGTAATGGAGATGTTTAGAATAAAGAGACTTGTCAATATAATCACCATTAAGTGCCTCTTCAGCCTTTCCCAAACCTCTGTAATTTCTTAAAGATTTTGACAGCAAAAAATATGTTCTGAGGTAATTAAATGGGTGGAGGTATCTTCATGCTGGCATTGCTTTATGCCTGGAAAAAAAAGAGCACCAGCTGCTTCTGTGGTTTCCAAAGGGATTAGTTTCCACCTGATGTTGCTTGCCTTGCACTTCTAGGTAGGAAGACAACCGATGAGCTTTCTCAGTCCTCAAGCTGTCTCCCTGGGATCTCGCTCAGCCCCGAACTTGTGGATTTGCAACAGAGCCTGGGTGGCGATGATGCGCAGAGAGGGCTCGGGGTCATGCAGCAGCTTTCTCAGATCTAAGGGGGAAGAAAACCCAGGTTGGAGATGAACATCTATGGAAATGGTCTCTGGTCCAGACACAAAACAGCCAATATGCCTATAGCAGCTGAGATGAAGGGCTAACTTTTTCCAAGCCTCTGTGTGAAAGTTTGTACATCTGTAGGTCAGTTCCAATTCTGACCTATAAAACTTGTTTCTGAGATGCCAAATATTTCACTCTTTTACAATAATCACACTGCCAAGTAGTCTAGAGTCAAATTATCTAGATCTGCCAAGCTATGTATTATACAGTTAATTTCTGAGTTCCTGCGTTGGCCCTAGAGGTTAGTCTTAAATCATTATTCGCTTTTAATTTTTCTTTAGAAGTTTTAATATATGTTTTCTTAATGCAGAAGAAATACATATTCATTGTGTAGAAAAATTAGACAATACATACATCTAAGCACTAGGAGAAAATCAAAGTCACTTATAATCTACCATCAGAGAAAAATCACTGTTATTTTTTTTCTGTTTATTCATTTACATAGGTAAGCTTTTATTTTTTGTCCAAGTGGAACCACATTGTATATATTATCTAATCACTGCTTACTTTATTTAATAATACTGTATCATTATTTATCCAAATCATTTAAACAGTCTTCTACAAATATTTTTCATGGCTACGTATGATTCTACAGTGTGGATATGCTCTAATTTATTTACCTAATTTCCTATTGTTTCTAATCTTGGATGTTTCCTATTTTTGACATTTTGGATAACATTGAAGTGAACATTCCTGTAACAATTTCTACTTATTTTCATAGCTTAAAATTCCTAGAAGTGGGATTGATAAGTCAAGGTATATGTTTATTTAAAGGTTTTGATATATATTGCCAAACTTCCCCCTAAAAATGTTGTATCAATTTATGCTCATACCAGCACAGTGTATGACAATATTAGTTTTCCTTTAACACATCACTGTTCAGTATTAATTAGTAATCTTTGCCATTTTGAAAGAAAAACACATACTGGTATCTCATCATTGTTTGGTTTTACAGACTTTTGATTACTAGTAATACTGAATATTTTTCATATATATTTATTGGTCATTTGTCTTCTGTGAACTACTAATTCATATCATTTGCCACGTTTCTTTTGAGAATGTACTGATTTGTTTTAAGGATATTAACCCTTTATTATAATGTAAATGTACCCCCATATTATTGTTTATTTTTCGGTTTTGTCTGTTTCTTTGTTTCTTCAAACAAATGTTTATGTAGACATATTTATCATTCTTTCACTTTATGGATCTGTGTTTGTATTATATTAGAAAAAGGTCTCTTTTGAATTTCTAATTCTCCAAGTTTGCAGAAATGCTAGAGCCTCTTCATAGTTCCGAGTTTTTTCTTTAAGTAGCATTTTAGCCTTTATATTCATCACGTTTATTTCCAAAAATGGAATACTTGACTAGCTTTTAGTTTCTTTCAGTTCTTACAGGAAAATCTGTCTACGTGTTCTGCAGGACATCTGAGACAGCAGACATCAATTTTGGAATACAAAGGAACTGAAACCTATTTTGTCATGAAATTGATTTGAATATTTAAATTTTTGTTACTTTTGTTTAAATTTAGCTTAAAATTACCTGTGGTAACTGACATAAACTTATTCAAAAAAGAGTGCTAGGATGTTCTACCCTATCTCTAGGACAGATCAGCCACTTCAGGGAAGATAGCGAGTGGGATTATTCCATTAGGTTGAACCACACAAGTTGCTGATACTTGACTGTTTTTGCCTTACAAAATGGCAATTTAATATGATTCATCCTGACATACATGCACATAATTTATAGGTATATCTTAAATCTTCTATATCGATAACTTTACAATGGAAAAGAAACTTTGGTTCCCCAGTCTTTGAGATTAGAAAAAAAATTTCCTTTGAATTGACCAGAATCAACCATGCAGAATCTTACCCTTAGAATAAAATAATCTATGTGACTTTTCCTAGTTATTTTTGCTTCTGATATCTGTGGGGAAGTAGGAGACCTTACAGAAAAGTGGTATGATCTTTCTTAAATAAGTTTCAGCTTCTGGCTATTTTACCAGTTACATATTTTTATTTTAAAAGCAGTGAATTGTTCAGGATTTTAATTTGGTTCTCAAAGTACATGCTTTTGGACAGTAAGACTTAGCATTTCATGGCATTTTCTAATTGTAGGACTACTTATTAAGAGGAAATAAATAATTCTTGGAATGTCAAATCCTCAAAGGTGTACAATCATAGAAAAATTTCACTTATTGACAATTCAGAAAACCATTTGCATGATGGTTGCCTTACATGAGTATAAAACTTCTCCATTACAAGTCCTAGGCCCTTACGGGACAATCACCACTTACAGAAAATAGTGCTGCAGTCAGTTTCTGTGGTACTTATAAGGGGGGTCATCATAATTTACTAAGAGTGTATTTTACATAATTTCTAATTTCCTGACAGACAAAGTTTAGGAATTATCCCTGAGACATTCATCAAAGCTGGTTTCTAGACGAAGAGTGTCATGTCCTTTCCTAAAGAAGGAATTGGACTGGGATGAGACTGTCATTTGGTTGAAGTTTCCAAGGACTTTTTTTACCATGAAAGTCAGACTTTTTGATTCTCAGAGTCTCAGCTCTGTCACAGAGCCTGCCCACAGTCACTGCCTCAGACACCTTCCAAAATATGGGGTACCCTAAACCCAAGTGTTTATCACTTACCATCCTCTATCCAGTCAGTACCCTTCATCCTCAGCTCACTGTGATCCGTGTAACTTGGTAAGAGCCCTAAATGCAGGATAAAGTCAGGGAGTCTGTGATCTAAGTTTGGTTTTAAGCAGCTGGCAGAACTGGCCTTTTGATAATTAGACAGATTCTAAAAACTGAACTTCTAAGCGGTAATAGTTACCTACAGATAACGTAGCCCCTTTCTCCAAAGAAGTATTTTCACAGTCATCTTCATAAAGAATGGGGATACTCAAAAACACAATTTGGGAAAGTAGAGGATAACAGTGACTGTAGAAATGGAAGGGTTTTCTTTGTACCTACAAACAAGACTGCTGCTCTTCTGATAGGAAGTTTTGCATTCTTGGAGAACATCAGTGTTTGGGCTAAGATGTTAATTTTCCCCTTGCATTTTTTTCCCTAAATGGGGAAAAAAAGTAAGAGTATAAAGGAGTGAAGTAGCAGCACTATTTTTATCAGCCTCTCACAGTTTCTAGAGCCAGGGATTATATCAGACACACATACAAAGTGTATGTGGTTAAAATAACTATAGTTGCTCGATCATGCCACAATAATAAGCCCCTAGGTACTGTTAAATCTGCCAAATACACCTTGCTCACATCCACGCATATTGTGCCTGTAATGCCTCTAATATGTCTTCACTTCTCTGTATCTCATTATCTAAGTCTTCTCCGTTCTCTAAGCTCTGCCTTGAGTTTTGCCTCCCTATGAACTCTTCCCTGACAGCTCTTGCCTTCTTGACCAAGCCCTTCTCTGAGGAACGTATAGGTCCTCCTCTCCTGGCACATACCATTTTCCACCTTGAGTTTCTGTTCAGTGTTCCACAGAGGTTTAAGTTCCCTCACTAGCTTGTAAACTCCCTTTAGGAAGTTTTATTAGTCCTTGGTACGTTTCTGGGTTCTCCATGGCCTGTTACACATTCGATGTGTTATGCTTACTAGATGAATGAGTTCAGCTCTCAGTGGCTTTCTTACAAGGAAAAGCACCTGAGGGACAGGAGGAAGAGGACAGGAATTTGTTCTCATAGAACTTAGGATTTAAGATGGACAATCTGTAGTCTTAACCACTGACAGCACTGAATTTCTTGCTGCAAATACTGTTCTTAGTGCATCAGCTATAGGTTTGGTTGCAAGTCAGAGAAAGAATCCCCAATGGAAAGCCTGACATGAGGGCACTATGGGGCTTCCTAGCCCTGTAAGTCTGATCAGAGGAACCCATACTGGGTCCTAAATGGCCACACACATGGAAGATCCCTGGGAACAGTCAGTCCAAGTGTCATCACAGTGGTTCTAGAGTCAGTTGTCTAGAAAACCATGGATGGGCCTCCTGGGCCTGCCCTGGTTCAAAGCGTGCATCTAAGATCAGCCTCAGTAGCTTCTGTCAAGTTTGTGAAGAGAAAGGATGCCATCTGCATCCTGGCACAGCCAGTGGCGTACTGCCATCATGCTGCATGGCCTCCGAGAGCACGGCAGTCCTTGCTTGGGGCCCATGCTCTGATGGAGGATAAAACAACCCACTTCATCCAAGGAAGAGATTAGAGCCCACTATAAAGGCAATACACAACCCCGTTTCAGTTCACTCCATAAAGAGTGTTTTGAGCATCTACTATCAGCCTGACTCTGTAGCCTCTGACACAGGGTTAACTAGTCTTTTATGTGAGAAAGGGTGGTAATAGAAAGTGAATTTTGACTCATTTGGGAGGGAACTATAGAAAATTGGATTCACAGTACAAGCCAGTTCATAGGTATCAGTTGCTGATATGAGAAGGGATGGAAATACTTCCTTTATGTCATATTCCTCCATTAAAAACTATGTTTGAAAAAAATAAGCACGTCAGCATATTAAGGAGTTAACAAAGCCATTATTGCTCACATACAAAGAATTTGCAGATTATTCCAACGTCACTAGGGTTGATGTACCAGGGATCTTTGCAGTACACTTCTTGGGGCAGCTTCCACTTCAGGAACTGGGCACATATGGTTAGGACTCGCCTGCTCTCCTGTGAAAAGGGTTACCAGAGATCAGCACTTTCAAACATTTTTTAGTTGGGGTTACCTTTCTTCAAATAAAACTGACACTGAAGTCCAATATAAAAAGCTGATAAACTCAGAATCATCCTGGTTGAAGTGAGGGGAGGCGTGGAAAGGAACCAGAGTTCTGCTCTCCTCCTCCAACTTTCCCAAACAGTCCCTAAAGAGAACCCATAAAATCTGCAGGGTTCTGGGGAAGAGGTAGAAACCACTGGTCTAGGGCAAGAGCAAGAGCTATCAAGTGTAATACCCAGACCAGAGATTTGGGCAGGAGTTCCCACTTTCCACCACCCCATGTTCTATAGAGGTAGGGCTCCTATGCCCACCTGCTACTTCTACGTCATTCCCTGCCACTCTACACATGCCCTCCTCACAGTCCTTGTGGAATCTCTAGCTTGGGAGAAACTTTGCAGGGTATTGATCCTTTCCTGATCCTGATACTTGAGCAAAATTTAGCAAGTGGGCCTCTTCACTACTCATTGCTCGCAGAATGCCTCTCATGCACCATTCAACACCCCTGGTGAGTCTCCACTAGATTTTTGGGCCATTAAAATTCCTTTGGGGACTGATGGGAATACAAATTAGTTCAGCTACTTTGTTTAGCAATTTGTAAATAGCTAGTAAAGTTATAGATACCCAGATATTCCATTTCTGGGTTTACGCCCTCAAGAAACTCTCACACATGTACACATGGGCTCTGTGCTAGGTTGAATATTGAGGCGGAGATACAAAAAGGTATAGTATGTCATTCTTAACCACAAAGGGCCATGATTTGCTATACAGAAATAAACAGTAAGATTTTTCACACAATTCATTTAGGCAAAATAATTGAAAGGAAGCCTGTGTCAGAGGAAGTGGGGAGTAAAGATGGCACAAAGCCCTGCCTTCTTAAGATATGAACACCTATTTGCAGATTTGGCTCTGGATTTGGACGTATTCAGGGCTGAAAGAAGTTGAGCGTAGGCATTACCTCAGCTACTGCATCATTTTCATCCTGGGAATACAGAAGTAGTGGGACCAAGCTGCCCAGAACTTGGCTCTCTACACGCTTCTTATCTGTGTATTTCACAGACTTTACAGAGGCTCCAAAGAGGGTCATGGACAGACGATGAACATCAGGTCTTACCTATGAAGGGAGTGTTCAAAGGGAGGCAACTCACTGAAAGTGTTCATGCTCTACTTACAAGAGCTCGAGGTCAGCTGAAACACCAGTCCTAACATGATGACATTTAGCTGTAGGCAGCTGAGGGTGAGAAACCAAATACAACTACAGATGGCAACATTTGCTGCTTTGCATGGCTTGTTCTTTAACTCCACGAATGAGAAATGGGCCCAGTCCCACCTGAAGTCATCACAGCTTATACCTACTGCTGGTATCAACCATTCACACAAGCTACTTTGCTGAAATTCAAAATCCCAGCCTTGGCATATTTGACTCTTCCAAGGATGTGGTTCATTGTGCTCCATCCCTTGTCTTTTTGACACATCTTTGGGATTTGGGATGGGGACATATGTACAGTCCACCATCTTGACCCAGTCCTGACTGTTTCTTGGAAGGAAAAGACAATGTCTTTTCTCAAACTTCTTCTCCACCCCATGAAGCAGGGGAGTACCTTGGCAAGTCTCTATGTTTCAGTTTTTTTCATCTGAAAAACAGTAACACCAGCCCTACTAACATCACAGGTTACCTGGAAGGGTCTTAAGAGAGGAGATCTGTAAGTGCTCTGAACATAAGAATTACTATGTAAAATAGAGTGTATTTATTACTATCCCAACTTCTATTTGCTGTTATGCTAGCTACGTCCCCCTAGGACAGTCTCTCTTCTCCCCTTGTCTTACATCACCAAATAAGGAGAACGAGGTCCTCATCATGGCAGTCAGGGTGGTGAAATCCATTGTCCTGACGAGCTGCAGGAGTATCTGGATGGTCAACAAAACAATCTTCTCATCAGTTTCACGTAAGAAGTCTAAGATGCATGGAGACAGGCTCTTGATGTCTTCCCTCTGTGTGCCCAAAGGAAGTATATCAACACTCATCCTGATAGCACTTCATTTGGTACCAAAGTAGGGCTTCCCACCTGTACTCTGTACCTGGTGCTTTTGAATTTGTGGTAGTGCTGGCTAGTCAAGAACACAAGAGAAGCAAAGAGGGCATGATGCCCTCTCTCAGTACTGGCAGGGCTGACATACAGAGAAGGAAGCAGAGCTGCTGTGAGCTGCCTCACAGGACAGGAGTGGGACCAGGTGGGGATGGTCCAGCAACAGGGACTTGGGCTTAATGCAAGAAATTTCTCTCCTAGCAATGAGAGAAAGTGGAATGGCCAGCTGGTCACAGAGATTCCCTAACACGGAAGGTATCCAAACAGAGGCTAAAATATGCCTTGCAGGAATTCAAGCAGAAATTAACTGAGTGCCTTTAAGGGTCCTTCCCATTCTAAACTGGGATTCTGCTCTTCTGAAACCCCCAAAAGGAGTCTCAGGGTTTTAAAGTTTAAATCATACATGTTAAAAATTAAATAGAATAACGCAACAAATATTCATGTATCCAATCAACCAGAATTAACTTATGTTGATGTTTGCCATTTTTGTTTCAGATCGATTGATCGATTGATCTATCTTTTAAATAAAAGAAAGAGAACTCAAGTGATTGAAGATTCAGGGGTTAATCTTCTTCTCTTCTGACCTAGTTTTAGTTTCTAGCTGGGCTTGTGGAAAATGAGCTTCCAATATGAATGTCGGTGATCTCTGCCTTAGATGATAAGCATCTTGGAAGCAGATACAATGGCCTATCCAATTTACTCCATAGGGCAACATGGTGCAATGCATAAAAGGACACCTGAATGTTACCCAGGTTGTGATGATAATGATGGTACCTCCTATACAAACTGCAGGATTCAAAAATTATGGATACAACTGACTTGGGCTTTTTTATCTTTTTTGATTTCATTAAATGTCTAATAGTCAGTAGACACAGAATTCAAATGAACACCACCCTATTCAATGTACAAAGGATGTACTCCTGTTCGCAGGTGACTCCATTTACCTCCTCAGCTGTTACTAGTTTCCTGGGTATATTTCTGGGATATATTTTATTTGTGACTTAAGAATTATCAGTCCTAAAGATTTCTACAGGTTACCAAAAAAATTAAAATTTAAACATTTGAAAAAAGATAGTGGTCCTACCGTCTCCTGGTGTCTGACAAGATAGTGCAGTCCCCTCAGGGCAAGAACTTTAAAAAGCTTATTTCCATGAAGTAGCCAGTCTTTCAAGCGGGCAACAGAGTATATGCTGGGCAGTCTCCTAGCCACTGGACTCTGGAGAAGCTGAAAGAACCCAGGAATCAGCCAAAGAAGGTATCTTTAAGCCTTTTTTCATGAAGGGAGCCACCTTCCCACCAACTTCAAAATACATATTTTTCTTTGAATCCTCTACTATACAGCGTATACATTACAGAGTAATGCTTGCACCTAGGTACATAAGGAACACTGAATAATGAACACATAGACAGGAGAATTTCAATAGGCTTGATTCTGAAATTATTTCTGCCCCATGTCTGAACTGGATCCCAGCCTGTCACTAAGTTGGATAGGGCCTAGGAAGGCAAGTCCTGCTGCTTTATAGGTTTCCTGAATCCAGCTTCTAAAAAGTGAGTCTTACCTCCACAAAAAAGCCTGCAGATGTGAGTTTATGTTTATCATTTCCTCGGTTAAGAAGAGGGACCAACAGGTACATGACCTTATGTGCAAGGAAGTGATTCCTTTCCAGCAACGCACTGCAAAACAGAACACCAACAGAGCAACTCTTAGCAGTGCTCCTATTCAGACAGCACTGCGCCCAGGGCTGGGGACCTCTGAAGTTTTCGCCCAGCTTTAGGTTCAGAGGAGGGTAAGGCAGGGCCAGCACCTCTGAAAAATTTGGCTGGCATGATGGGTATTTGCCCACCCTGTGATGAGAAGGTTATTCAACCTTGGTTGCTGTGGCAACTAAAAGGAAAAAAAACAAACAAAAAAACCCCCAATCCCACCCCGCCCCTCCACACACAAAACCTTAGAACGATGCTGATTGAGAGCAGGTGTGCACGGCAGGGAACCCTTACTTGGCAAGGAGGGACACTCCCTGAAGATGGCAATCTTTTCCTTCCAGAAGCGCCCATCCTTTATTCTTTTCCATGATGTTGAATTCCTGCCAGCAGAATGTTCTGAGGAGGAGAGTCTTTGTAGCCTGTATGGCAAAGCTAAATCAAACAAAAACAGTACAAGTGAACAGAACAGGTCTCTCCAGCTTAGCAGCACAAAATCACTCTGCTCTCACTGAGAAGGGCCGTGCATCAATTGCTGCTGGACTGTAATTCTCTCCTTTCCAGATTTCCCAAAAGACTCTTACTGCTCTAATAACTTGAAAGGTCCTTTATACAAATTCTAAGCATAAAGAACTCTAACTAGATTTTGTTTCCCCGGAGTATGGAAAGAAATCTCTGATGAAACAAATGATATAGGATGCTAAACTGATGCTCCCTGCAAAAAAGGGGGGGAAAAAAGCTTTATTTAGATACAATTTGTACCCCATAAAATTTACCCCCACTGCTTTTTAAAACTACTTATTGAACTAATATTCTGGACATAACATCAGAGAGTCCTAAAGCTAGAAGGGTTCTTGGACAACACCTAGCCTGATCTCATTTACAGATAAGGAAATTGAGGAACAGAACAACACAAGGATTTGCCCAAGATACGTAGGCATTTAAGTGAATGAGAATTAGAACTCAGATCTCCTGTCTCTTAGTCAGGTGTTCTTAAATGTTCTGCATTAGAGCACTTCATCTAAAAGAAATCCATGTGCCACAGCAACACTAAGAAATTTCTATGGAGATCCTAGTGGGGAACTAAAAATACCTCTCCAAGCAGTGAAGCAGAAATGAGAAACTGTTGACTGTGAACCAGCATGGTTAGGGAGGTGGGTTTAAGGCTGTTTTGCTGGTCTCTGTCTCTGATTTATAAAGAAAGGGCTGGCACGCTATCTCACATTATTTTGCAGAGCATCTGGACCCAGAGAGCCAAGTTGACCTTGGTACCAATAAAACCAAAGACAGCCAATGAGAGCCCAGAATGACTCCTGGGCTCTTCGTCTTGATGTCTCATGAGGGTAACAGACTGAAGCTCTCCCACAGTTGGGGCCACATCTTGGCTCTCCTTGCAGCTGCCACAGTGCCCAGTGCTAAGAGTTAAGGTCAGCGAAATCACAATGGGCAGTACCACAAAGGGGTGACCTCTGAAGACATTTCCTGGTCTGTGTACAGGCCACTTGGGATGGCGACATCAGACATGGTGAGGCCAATGCTGTGGTGAATCTGGATGAGCAGTGTCATGAGAAGCTGCGGAAAGAGTCGGAGTGTAGCTTCTCGAAGCCTGTTTCCCACAAACACCTCATAAAGGGCATCTGTCGCCTGTGGAAGAAAAGGAGCAGAACAGCCGCTAGCCCTAATCCTTACTTTCACTTCACTTCTGCTTGTGCCAGAACATGCCTTCTGGTTCTCCCACAGGCAGAACAGGAGTGGTAATCTGCGCAGGGACACGAAAGTGAGGGAGGATAGGAACAGGAGTGAAGTGGTCACTGAAGGTTACCAGAGTGAGAGGCGTCCTGAAATCCAGAAGTAAACTATAAGGAAACTATTATTAACATGTTTGACCACACACAAATTTAAAGCCAGGGTGACATTTATCATAAACAAAGGTGGATGACAAATAATCTGAAAAAGTATTTGCATCAATGTGGTATTCTTAATATATAAAATGCCCTTACATATCAGGGGAGAAAAATGAAAAGCTTGCTACTCAAAGTGTGGGCCATACACCAGCATCCCTGGCATCAGCTGAGAGATGGTTAGAAATGGAGAACAGCAAGCCCCAACCCAGACCTTCTGCATCAGAATCTGTATTTCAATGAGATCCCCAGATGATCATGGCTTGTGTGCATATTAAAATTGAAAAGCACTGGGGTATGAGACATAAGCTGACAAGTCACAAAAGAAGAAAAAACATAAATGACCAATTAAAAACCATATGCAAATGTTGAACTTCATCAATGATGGAATTATAATTAAAACAATGTTCCTTTTTCACCTATCAGCTAGGCACCAATGCTCAGTGTGGTGAGGGAGTAGGTAAATGGGCGTGCTCAGACACCACTGCAGAAGGGCTGTGTTCTAGATAGCCAGCTGGGAACATCATCAAAAGTTTAAATAAGCCCAGAAATTCCCCTTCAATGGACTTTATCCTAAGAAAATAATTCAGTATGTATAACAAAATTTATGTATGCATGATTAAGTTTGCTACAGCACTGTTTTAATGGCAAAAGTTTGAAGATGGTCAAAACGTTCACTAACAGAAAACAATGAAATAAATAGTTTGGTATCAAGTATTACCTATTTTTAAAAGGTAATTAAAAATTAACTACAATGCAGCCATGAAGAGGAGAACAGAGAGCCCTGTATATTGATATGGAAAGTAGTTTATATATTGTTAAATGAAAACCAGCATGTCATCAAACGCTATGTAATAGGAGCCTATTAATACATAATATAATTTTATAGACTAATGTGATTACGTGTATACTTTTACCTGCCCTAACTCCTAAAAATGCACTAAAATGACATTATAGGGATTTTTAAAAAGGCATAAACCCACAACAACAGAGAGAATAACAGAGGAGACAATAGCAGACTAGAGACATCAAAATAAGTTTGAAAGCTAAAAAAAAAAGTATGATAATTTAGGCCAGAGAAAGCTGAACCATAAACTGGTAGGGAAGAAAATAAAAAGTAAACGTGGATGAGGGGAGGCTGTGCATGTAGGGGGCAAGGAATATATAGGAACTCTCTGTACTTCCTGCTCAGTTTTGCTGTGAGCCTAAACTGCTCTAAAAAATAAAGTTTATTTAAAAGGAAAAATATGGGGGAAAAAAGTATACAAGTATGTACACAAAAAGTTTATATATTGTGAACACTTCTAGAAAGTTGATTTCAAGGAGATGGTGTAGCCATAAGCAAAGAATGGTTTTTAGACTTTTAGAGGATTGTTTAAAAATATATCCAAAGAATATATAGTGGAGACTATACGTGATCTGTAAAACCTAAAATATTTACTTACCATCTGGTCCTTTACAGGATAAGTTTGACAACCTCTGCTCAAGCAAGACCTTTGGTTTCTATTTTATACTCTTCTGTATTATTTGAAATTCTTTTCACAAGTTTGTATTACTCTTAACTATGATGATACACATTTTTTAAAAGATGAGGGAAGGAATGTTTAAAACAAATTAAACCATACTGATTCCTTCACTCATCCCAGCCCCCTCCACGTCAATCCCTCGGTGGAGACATTATAGATTTATAAAAGATGACAGAAGCAAACTTTGAGAAGAACCAAAGGAACAGTAGCTAGGGAGGGTACTGGGCCAGTCATCCTGGGAAGGGAGCATGCGGGCTGAGGGTGGAGGGCAGAGCTCAGTGGCTTACAGCAACAGCCACGTAGGCCATCTTCTCCTGGGTGGGCAAGTTATGGCATTTCTGCAGCTTCCTTAGGAGCCTCCACAGGATCCAGGTTGTGCTGGGCAGCTCCACCTCCAGAGTTCTCCACAACTCAGCCAGATGCCTGGAAATCCCAGAGTGAGAGGGTTCAGGAGAATGGCTTATCCTAGAGCTTACCCAGACCACAAGCTTCCTAGAGTTTGTCTGGAACCCAGTCTATAAGAGGTTTTCCTCTCTGATGCTCAGCTGCTCAGTTATTCAGGGTATCAAGACTTACTATCTGAATTCATAACAGTAACTCCCATGTATATATTTATACTTTCTTTTTATGTATATATCTTTCGGCTAAATCTTTCTCAAGTGTTTTGTAGACATAACGACATTCCCCCTAAATCTCTATCTCCTAAATTATTTTATCTCCTAAAAATAAGGACATTCTTCTATATAACTATGTGGTCATTTCACACCTAAGAAAACTACATTAATTTAATAATCTAGTATAGAGTCTCTATTTAAATCTTCTTAAAATTTTCTTTTATAGCTTTTGTTTTTCTTTCTGGATCCAATCAAGGTCCCATGTTGCATTTGGTTATGTCTCTTTAGTGTCTTTTTATCTAGAACAGTACCCTCAGCACAATTTTTACTTTCATGACATTAACTTTTTTTAAGCTGGTATGAAGTACTTTATTTTCTAAAGCCAACAAACCAAAAATCAAAACAAGATGTCAAAACAATCTCTAAACCGATCATTGAATTTGAGAGGCAGCATGTTATGCATAGTGGGAACAGTCAGAAAAGATCCACACATTTAATTACCTAGTTGACATTTCCACTTGAGTATCTCACTGGCATGTTAAATTCAGCATGTTCAAAACTGAACTCATGGTTACAATCAATAGAATAACTTTTTTGAAGAGCTCAGTCCAACTATTCTGTACAAATGTTCTTCCTTCTGGACTTGCTGGATTGTTTCTTTATTCTATGCATTATATTCTGATTTATATTGCAGGCATTTGTCTATATCTTACCTCTTCTATAAGAACATTAGACTTTTGAGGGCAACCACGTTCTACAATACTCAGAGCTGTGTCACACACCCCAATTTATTCCAGAGGCTGTACCAGATTCTGTTACCTGTCATATGGAACTGGATGACACAGAAGGTGGCTGATCACTGTGTCTGTGTACTTGGGCCTGGAAATAAACAAACTCACGGTATTTATGATTTGTCGGCGGACTCTAGGCTGGCTGATTACAGATAGCTGGGCACAGATAACCCCCATAATTTCTGGCACCTGAAGAGGGAAAAGAAATAACTAAGACCCCAATCCTGTCAGCAGTGGTAGTTACTGAGAATATTGTGGCTATTTCTATACGGTCCTGGGGGTAACTTTTAAAGCAGAATGTTTATTATTTTTAAAAAGTTTATTATTGAAACTACTTAAAATATACATATATGAATGGATATGCATATAAGAGGATTTGGAAGAACATATATACAAAGATATTAATGTGCCTTTGAGTGATGGGATATTTATTTTTTGCTTATCTATGTTTTCTAATTTTTCCTCAAAGATTATGTATTGGTTTATAATAAGACAGATTAATGAAAGTGTTGCAGGGAAGTTGTGTTTTTACCACTCTGACTCTGAGAATGGAAAAGGAGTCATACCCGCCTTCCTCCTGGAGATGCTTATCATGTTCGGGTAAAGAGAACAGCAGCCACTGGGCTTTGGTCCATTTCTCTGCTTAGACTGCTCTTTGCACTCACAGACGCATGGCTGCAGCTCTCTGTGGCAATGTCAGCTTCTCAGAGAGGCAGTCCTTAACAGCCTCAGATAAAATGGCCATCATTATCGCCAGTTACCAGAAACTGATTTGAGGATGGGCAGGTGATGCAGTTCTGGCCAATAAAATATGGGGGAAAATCTACTCAGGGCTTATAGTAAAGATTTCTCTCTGTGATTAAAGGAAGACAAGTTCTCCCTTCTTTGCTGGATCATATTGTCTTATCTGCTCATAAAGTCTGAAAATGTGGTGACTATCTTATGACTATATGAACAAGCCAAGTTGGAAAGATGGAAAAGCCCCTGGTTCTTTGATAACACTGTCAAGTCACTGAACCAATCCTAGAAAACATACTCTACTTCCAGACTTCTTATTATATGAGATGATAAAAACTTTGTTTAAGCTTCTTACAGTTGATTGTTTTTTTACAGCCAAAAACACTCAAATGATACAAGTGCCCATTGCACCATCTTTCAAAATAGTACTGTTCTTTTTGCATCTTTGCTATTTTAACAGATTAGAAAATGGGTTTTCATCATTAAAAGATTACTTTTTATTTTTATCCAAGTGCAACACACACACAATTTAAAAAGTCCAGTGGTATTTCAAGGCTCTCTCTTGCCTATTCCTTAGGTCCACTCTCCAGTGACAACTACTTTTATCCCTTTTACCTCTTCCAGTATGTCCTTTCATATTTCTAGATAGTGTAACTATATTGTTAGTTCTCCATGTATCAATTTTAGATATTTAAATAAATTTTCTTGATTTTTTCTATGACATTTATTCACAATATGCTAACATGAGGTATCAGTTTCAAAAGTTTAACTAGAAAAAATTCAATCACTTAAAATTTGAAAGCAGAAGTTACTGACAAATATATTTTAGGAAAAAACAAGCAATCAGCAAACTTAATGAAAAATCAGCGAGAAAACTGGATTATCTTCAAAGAAATTAACAGCTGACTTTTCAATAATCATTAGGGTTTAAATCCAGTGTTCTATAAGAAAATATCTACTCATCTAAAATTCTATACCTATCCTTTAAAAATAAAATTCTCTTGATTTTAAGTTTATTAAGTTGGCCTCCTTCTAGGATCACTGATGGCTTGACTTTTTAAAAAATTTGATACCTCTAACTAACCTGAATGAGGATCTAAATTGTTGGAGTCACCATTCTCATATGTATTAGTTATATCCTCTCAGAAAAACTACACTCTTTTGGAAAATATGGACCATGTCTTAGATTATTTTAAATTGCCCTCCCTAGTTGCACACACAGTGGTTGTTTATACATACTTGTTGAATGGGTGAATGTTCAACATTGACCAAATGGACTAAGGAGGGACCCTGGTTCCCTTCAGTAGTTGTTTTCTGCTGGACAGGAGCCGCAGAAGAGAGCTCATCAGTGGCAGGAGGGGAGGGGTCTTTCCAATATTCCAAACCTGGCTCTTTACCTTCTCAAACCGGGACTCCGCACTCTTCACCAACGTTATCAGCAACTCTCCCGCTGACTGCTGGGTGCAGGGATGTTTCAGGTTTTTCAGGCCATCTAGTGTAGTCATTACAAACTGGCAGAGCTCATTTGAATTGAGGAAAACTTCGAAGACCTGAGATGATTTAGGGAAAGTAAACTTTCAAGATATATAATATGACAGAAAGAGCCCTGAACAAGGAATAGATTCTAGGTTAATGATCAGAGAATCATACAAAGAGGTATAAAGCTGTTTACCTCAATAGTGAAAAACTGGAAGCAACCCAATGTCCCCCGTGAGGGTCTGTGCATGGCCTTTTACAGCTCTGACTTTTAGAAAGAAGCTTGATTACTGAGATCCTCAGAAAGAGTCACACTTTTATACGGATAGGAATTAAGGAAAAGCCCTAATGCTATATAGCTGACAGGGATGCAGGCACAGCTAAAATACCTTGTCTGGAGATAATATAGTAAAAAGATGTGTTATTTTGCTTTTCATTGCATTTAGTGGTGTATAAGGTCCTTCACACAATTATAACATGTATAATCTACTGGGCACTTACTTTGTGACAGGCCCTAAGCAAAGGTGTTTCTATATAGCATCTCATTTAACTCTTATAATAACTGCATTGTCCCAGTTTTTATAGATCCTCATCATACAGATGAGAAAACTGATGTTCAGAAAATTTAAATTACCTCATACTTTTGATCCTATAGTAAGATCTATAAGGTTTTTTTTTCCATTTCCCCTAACATACTTCCTGGTACCTAGTAGGTGCTAAAATATTTTGTTGAATATTGAATAAATACATTAATTAAAAAGCATATAGCTTGTTGGGTCAACCATATCCTCTTGTAGGTCCTTTTTGGGACAAAAGTTTACATTTGCAAGAGGCTGGGTAGGGTTAGGACAAGGAGTGTAAGAGTCATGACCACAGCGCCTCGTCTCCAGACTATGGAGTGTTTAGAGAGCAAATTCTCTGGGAAATCTTGTATGTTTAGTTTTATAAGCAATTAGCTAAACTTTTCCCGAAGTGATTTTACCATTTCACATTCTCATGGACAAATGTATGAGACTTCTGGTTGCTTTCCATCCTCTCCAACATTTCAAGCTGTCTGTCTTTATAATTTTAGCCATTCCGATTACCTGTGCAATTTTGAAGGGACAACTGTAGAACTGTTGAATACTGTGGAGTTCTAGGAGTTCTCGACATTTTTTCATTGCTTCTTTCAAGCTTCGATTTTTCTTGTCGTGAGTGATATCTGAGAAGGAAACGTGAAATATTAATACTTTCTGGCTTCTTTCTTCTTGATTTTGCAAGTCTGGTTGATCTCCAGGTTGAAGTGAATCCCAAGATCTCACACTTCTCTATTTCACTTGAATAAAAATGCCTGGGGCAAGGAGTGTGTGCTAGGTCGATTTGTTTCCCCTCTGTTGTAGGGCAATACAGAGCTTTTATAAAGAGCTGAAGGAAAAAGAAAAGAGCTTTTTGTAAGGGTAGAGCTTTTAAGTGACTTGGGAGTACAACCAAAGCAAGCTAAACCACTCATTTCTCCATTGGTGGGGACTTTTGAGGGGTCTCCTTATGAAGCTTATGTCCCCACAAAAAACTGCACAAGTTTGTACTGAGTTTGATAATTCTGCTATAAGAATTCTAAATGTGTCTGGTTTGGCTGATTACTGAGTCTGCCAAGACTCCCTCACGGTACCTTGTTTTTCTCATGTCTTATTGTGATTCATGTTCGTTGGAAATTTATCTATGGGAAGTCTTTGAGCCCTTGGTTGAGGATACTGTCTCTCTAACCATAAGGGACCTTATGGATCAAGGGAAGGGACATTGCTTGTCTTGTTCACCAGTGCATCCCTCGAACAAGAAGTACTTCATAAAATATTTGTTGAATGAACAATCAGCTGTATTTCTGTGGCTATATGTCTGGTAGCCAATGCTCATACTCACAGCTGCCCAGAGGTGAGGCTGCTGCTTTGGGAAGCACAGAGCTTTCTTATCGCCCGTATGAGCAAGCCCAGGCAGGGCAACTACTTGGTGGGAACAGAGCAGACAGACTCAAACCCTCGGGGGGAAGCTGGCTTAGATACCGTCTGAAGTTCCTTCTGATTGCAGGACGTAGCGGGGAGGCGGGGGCAGGAGCCGTCAATGATTGATTCCTTGACCACAGTGGCCCCCGCTCTGTTTTTCAAATACCCCAAGCTCATACCTGCCGAGTGCCCTGGCTCATGCTATTCCTTCAGCCTAATGTGTTCGTCTCACACTCCACCTGGCCAATGTTCTTTATTTTTCAGGTGATCTTCAGAATGGACTCTTCTGAATCCCATAACTAGATCTGATTCTTACTCATGGCCTCTGCAATTTCCCTTCATAGCAGTTATCTTCGCATACTGTAACAGTTATTTGTTGATTCTTTGATTGTCTGACTCCTCCACTAGACTACGTGGTACTTCAGGATTGGATCTCTTATTTTCTGGTTACTGTTAGATCCTGAGTAAGTACTCAGTAAACATTTATGGGACAAATAAATAAACGAAGGCCCAAATGCTGGCAAGAACTTCCTCCACTTTCGACCACACTAATCACTCCAGCTTGTCCACAGGGACAAGTGTTGACTACTCCAACTCCATGGCCATGCAGGTAGCTGACACTAATGAGTCTGATCCAGTGTTATGGTTCTAATCAGTAAGTCAGTGTTGTCTCTGCCTATGGACTATGTATCTTTCTCTTTATGAACTACTGTGAAGATCTTTCTAGAATGTGGGGAGTGAGTGCATAAGGAGGCTGGTGCTCGTGTTGTTTTGGAGAATTAATTCAGGGTCTTGCTGCCACCAGCAGTGCCTTACACTTCATCCTTAGGGTAATATGCAGCAGGTAGTGTGTGCCCTCTGCAGCCTCCTCGGCCACCTCCTTCAGCGGGTCCCCACACAGTAGTGCCATCAGAGCCACTAGATGTCCAAGTCTTTGGAATTGCAGTGGAAGCTAGTTAGGAAGCAAAAGAAAGATGTCATTAGAATATAGGTGCATTTGGTGCCTTAGATTTAAGTTGTTGAGAAGTAATTCCACTTCCATCCCCTACTCAAGATAAGTGCAGGGGTCACATCCAGCTCCTGGATCTCTTCAGGTTAACATTTAGCATGTGTAGATCTAATATATCCAGCGGATATCCAGGGCAAATTTTAACTCAAGTAGGCAATCTGAAAAATGAAAAAGCTTTGTATATAAAGATATTCACTCTAACACTGTTTTTAGAGACCACATATTGAAAATAATTGCCCAACAGTAAAGATAACTCTGAATATAACCATTAGGAATCAATTATCCTAGGAATTCATAATAAGGTAGGAAAATGTGCTAGTCTGCTAAGTGAAAAAGCTGGACTCAAAGTTGAGGTACACTACTTAATACAATTTAAAAAAATGTATTTATTGATATTTTGCCCTATTATGGGAAAAAAGTAAGGTAGCTGGTAAAAACTGCATCAGAAAAGGAAGCATAATTTAAAATAAACAGTGAAGAAAATGGGACATATTAAAAAATGAAGGCAGAAAAGAATAATGAAATTAAGAATTTTAATTCTGTTAGCATGCAGAATGCATAATCATCATTTGCTCAAAGTAGGTCACGAAACTAGGCTCTGAACTTCCTCAGGGCTAATGCAGAGGTGCACACATATGATTCACACTACCCATAAGATAAGAAGCAAACAGTTGTGCAAAGGAAGCACAGCTATTCCTAGGACTGAGGCAGAAAGAATTTCTTCTGTGGCTCTTCAGAAAAATATACTAAGATACTATGAACAATAGCTTCTACAACCTATTTACAGTAAACACAGCAACACATACACAAAGCCGTGTAACATCTTTCGTTCTCTGATAATAACGTTCATTCCTTCAGTCAATCAACAAACACTGAGTGCCAATGCTGAGCCCAAAACTGGTTATGACTGTGGCCCTTATGTAAGGCACTATGACTGGCACTGGGAATATAAGCAGTGAACAAAAGCTAACATTCCTGTTCATGGAGGGGACATTCTAGTTGGAGAAACATAAAATAAAAAAAAAGAAGTAATATTTTTTATATATTAAATGGTGATAAATGTTATGATGAAGAAAAATGCAGGGGACAAGGATAGGGAATGCTACTTTAGAACAGTCAGGCTGTAAGGAGGGACTGAGCCACATAGACAGGTATCTGGGTGAAAAGCACTCTGGCAGAGAGAATAGCACATGAACAAAGAAGGGATTGTGTCTGGTGCTTATGAGGAAAAGGAGGCTTGGTTGGCTGGAGCAAAGTAACTAAGAGTGAAAAAAAATAGGAGGCAGGTGAGGATGGGGCGAGATGACATAGCAATCTATAAAACATTGTAAGGATTTTGGATTCTATTCTGTGTGAGATGGGAAGCCACTGGAGGGTTAGCCATTGAAAGGTTTTGAGCAGAGAAGGGACATGAGCTGATTGACATTTATTCAATAAATATTAAATTGAGCATCTACTGAGTAGCATATTCTGTGCTAGGTAGGCATTGGGGATGCTGTGGTGAATAAGACAAAGAATCACTGATGAAATTTACATTCTATCAGAGGGAAACAGGCAATAAATCAACAAAGAAATAAACAAGATAACCTCTGATCTTAAGAGGCTCCTGGAAGGAAAGAGTTGAGAGAGAGAGCAAGGGTAGATCTATTTGTAAGCAGAGGCCTTTCTGAGGTGGAACATTTGAACTGAGTGCTAAAGAATGAGGGGGAATTAGCTATGTGAAAGGTTGGGAAGGTCATTTCAAGCAGGGGAAGTACTAAGTACAAAGGCCATTGAGGCAAGAGGAGCTTGATATGGCAAAGAACATAAGAGAGGTCAGTGTGGCTGCAATAAGTCAGGATGTGCAGGGAGGCAGGAGGAGCTAGATCACCTAAGAGCAGATGGAAATCAGTGGGTCAAGAGTGGCTGGGTTTTAAGAAAATACCTTGGCTGCATGTAGAGAACAAACTAGAAGGAACTGAGTGGAAGATTCCACCCCAACACATTCACGTAGAAGAAAGTACGCAGGAGGAATAAAAAAAAAAAAATGTTAATGGGGCTATCTCCGGATGACAAGGAGATAGTTTTTCTTCCTTCTACTTAAAATTTTTAATAAAAATTTTTCTTTAATGAGCATATTTATATTCATAATATTAAAAAAAATCTCAAACTTTATTAAGACAAAAAAGGCTACTGGAGAATTATGTTCCTAGTCTGACCACTAAGTAGTTCTTTAATGTTCTCTTTTTATGTATTTATTTATTTATTTTAAATCTATTTTTATATATAGTGGTTAACATTTGTAAATCTCAAACTCCCCAGTTTTTTAATGTTCTTTTAAAATTCGTTATCTTTTAAGACTTATCTGAGAATATGAAAAAAATAAGGGGCAATAGGAATATACATTTGTCAAAACTATACAGTTAAACTGGGTGGATTTCATTGTATAAATTATAATTCAAGAAAGTTGATTTAAGAAAAACTATGGAAGTTCCTCAGAAAAATCTGGGAGACTGAACCACCCAGAATTCTGTGCACAGCCTTGCGGGTGTTCACAGACCCCAGTGGCACCTACGTTTTCCCTACGAAGGAAACGCTAAGGAAGATCTGCAGGGCCTCGAGAGAGATTATGGATAGAAAGGAGTCACCTGAAACTCTTGCATCTTCAATCTGTCGCCAAAATTAGAGGTTGAGGAAGAATGATGCATTGTGGTTAACAACAGGGTGGTCAGTGATGACAGAATAGTAAGGTCGTCACTGACAGCCAGAAGTTACCTGCTTTCACTGACTGAAGAAAGAAAAAAGCAGCATAGTTTGAGGGACTGAACTCCAATGAGGACACAGAAAGTTTGGATATATTTTCAAATTGAGAAATAAGAGAGTTAGCGGAGTGCTGTCCTTTTTAAGCATGATTGTTAAAAACAGCTGTATCAA